TATTTAGTTCTTACGAAATGCATATTTAGTTCATGAACAATGCATACATATTTTATTTTGAGATCCAATCATAACAATGTATTTGTGTTATTAATCAATTTAAAATTAAAAGTAATTATATAATAAAAATCATTAATTATTATATTTAATTTAATTGTATAAAATGTATATTTTATTGCATATTTTCGTTGCATATTTACTTCATTCCTGATGCATATTTAGTTAGTAAAATGTGCATATTTAGTACATAAACAGTGCATACATAGTTGATATTATTGCTGTATATTTAGTTCATAAGGATGACATATATAACTCATTTCTTATGCATATTTCGTTCATACTAAGTGCATAGTACTGTATGCATATTTACTTCATACAAAATGTAGACTAGGGGGTCAATGGTCAACGCCGGAAGCCAACGGTCAACGCCAAAGTCAACGCCGGAAGTCAACGGTCAACGCCGGAAGTCAACGTTTTTTTGCCGGAAGTCAACGGTCAACGCCGGAAGTCAACGATCAATGCCGGAAGTCAACGGTCAACGCCGAAGTCAATGGTCAATTGTCAAATAATATTTAAATAATTAAAATAATAAAAATAAAGAATTAAGTAATAAAAATAAAGAATTATTATTTAAATAAAGAGTTAAATCTTGGCCACACATCACGTACCAATCTAGTGGCTAGGAATGAGTCTCACATTCACACTTTAAATATGTGTACTCATTGAATCCAATCCCTATATATATATATATATAGGTAAAGGATCATATGAGAATGATCTATAGTGAAAGAAATAAGAATGAATTTACACCATTTGATCTATTAAATCAAGGGTTGAGATGCAGTCAACATTCATAAAGTCTGTTTGACTCGCGGTGGCACTACCGTAAATATAACAACTTTTTATGGGCAAATATATTCATTGGAGGGTATTATAGTCTTTAGCATCAATAGCATAGGGTAAAGGATGATTCAGACACATTAATTGCATCTAATAGATAGGCATAGGGATCTGTGGGTAATTGTGGCGGTTTCACAACAATCCATGGACGATTGAGCTCAAGCTTTCACCAGATTCAGTCTTGTGAGTAACGGTTGTGCAATTTCAATATTTACTGAGTTTTTGAGGCGATTAATAGTTCGATTTTGTACAGATTTGGAGTAATTTCTTCGTCAGTTACAGAATATGGGGAACTCTCCTCAAACGAGGAAACGAGGTAATTTTTTAGAGATAATCTTAGAATATGTGTATGTTCTCAGAATTCGATGATCTGTTCGTCAATTTCGAACAACCTGTTATAGTTCTTATCGTATTCAGATGAAAAAAAAACTGGTTCCTCCGTTTCTGGTAGTTAATGATGATGTTATTGTAATTAGTAGGTGTTTTTTTATGTATGTTTAGTTTTTAGGTTGTTCATGAAGTTGAATCTTGCTCTGGTAACTCCTCTGCTATTTGTTTCATTGTGGGTTTTCTCTTTAGTTAACATTATTGTTTTTGTTAAGCTATGGTTTTAGTTCTTTACAGGCTGTGTTTGTGTGTGTCTTCTTGGATTGAGTGTTTTTTGTCTTTTGTTGCGAGATTTAGGGTTCAATCGTGCTTCTCATTTTATTTCTTTTTATCTAGCTTTACAAATTTGTGTTTCTTTGCAACAAACTACCCGCAAGAAGCCCGACATCATATCTGAACATAACGGCGACGGAGGTCCACATAATAACGACACAGGTGCATTCTATGATGTGTCGTATGTTGTGTTTAGTTTGTTGCAACTTACATTTTTTAGTGAATATATATATTATCAGTATAATTAAGCATCTTTTATTTGAATTTATGTTGTACTATTTGTAATATTTGATTAAGTTGTTCTTATCAGCTTTAATCTTTCGGTTTATTAGTGTTATTTGCTTTTATACGTGAATTCTGAACAATTGAGTGTTGCACGGATTCAATGCCAGAGAGAACTCCCGATGCACCGGGACGTGTCAGAGAGAACTCGTTCTCTTCTTAAGTTTACGGATTCCTGAATCGTCGCATATTTGTTATGTTTTATACGTACAGTAATTATGTGCAACTGACACCAGTAATGTATATGGGATTTTGGCTATTTGGTATGAATATGTGACATATAAGCGGTGCAATAGTATACACAGAAAAGTGCAGGCTGTCTATTAATTATGTGCAACCGGTAGCAGTAATGTATATATGTTTCTGTATGATCTTGTGCGTGATGCTATGATCGATATGGATATGTATTGTGATTTTATCAGATTGTATATTGTATGTTTTTTTTGTCTTGATCGTCGTTGTATATTTGCCTGTTTACTTTATGATCATATGTTTCTTCAAATTGTCAGTTATTTGTTATGCTTTATATGTGATGGATAATCGGTGCATCCGTATACACATAATGGTGCAATATGTCTAGTAGTTATGTGCAACCGGTACCAATTCTGTTTACGTGTTTGTCGTACGATATCGTGTGTGATACTATGATTGTGTGTGTGTGTTTCTGATTGATTTATTTGTTTTTTTCTCTGTTTTTGTTTTATTTTTCATAATAACAGGATCTGTTCAAGAATTTGCATCAAAAGACCGTATTCTTGCCACTACGGGTGTTAAAATTTTACAGTTGGTCGAGAGGGCGCCTAAAGATTTATTAGGCGATGAGAAATTTATGAAGATGAGGGGTGCCACGCAGAAGCTACTTGGGGTGTATAATGAAGACGTAAAAGGAAAGTCCAGTCAACAAACTCCCAGCTGCAATGATGAACCTACCATTCCCGGACCAACACAGTTAGTGGTGACGCATTCTGGAACAACCCCAAGACTTTGGCTGCCTTAGATGCTATTATCGATGTTGTTGCACATCGAGACAGTTTTAAACGGATTCATCATGAAGGCCCAGTTTTAGCTTGGGCTTAGGACTTACACCGGATGATGAGGATGTTGATGCAGGACGTTTCAATAACGTCAACGAATTCACTACTGACGGTCCTTCCAATGTAGATGTGTCACTAGGTATTCAAAGGACGTGTTACGCCACATTGGAATCCGGACGTGAAGAGGGCTGACAAGAGGCAGATCGACCTCACGATGAAGCGATATTGCTACTTCATTTCGTTTGCTCAATCCAACAAGCTGAAAGAAGAGAACCTCGCTCAATCAAAGAGGTTCCAGTTGAAGAAAGACGATGTCGTGTGATGGGTCGTATGGGTCGTTTGTTGTTTGGACACATTAGTCGTATTGTTGACATGTTTTGTTTTATTACATATATGCGAAGGACCTAACGCTTGGTACATCCGTCACTTGATGTTGCTAGCACTATGTTTTTGGATGAATATACTAGTATTTTGTTATGATTTGCTATTGTCGTTTCTTGGTATGTTAGTGCGATAATATATATATATATATGTATATTCGTTTATTTTGTTTTGTTGTGGTTGACAGACTTTATGCGATTGTATAATCTTACGTAGAAGGGGTTTCCGATTAAGGGTTT